CGGAAATATAGCGAAAAAAGGATGGACTGGGGCTTAAAAAGCAATATTTTCTCACTTCCTGGTTTCTGATTCCCTGGTTAATAGGCATTTTGCATTAACGTTCACATGATACTAAATCCGCTACTCTGGAGGGCAAAAGGATGTAAACAACTCAAAGAGAAAAGGAGCGCAGCCCTTTAAGTTTGAATCTTCTTACTGAAAATCSATTGGGAATTTGCTCAGTATGGCCGATTTAGAACCATGTGATGGTTAAATGCAATTAATTGGTGATAATACCTGTAAGGTTCTTTCTTTTCACAGCCACCTATAAACAAGGAAATATTTTTTAAATCCTTTTTAACTCAGTTTACAGCTCACTTGCTTATTGTGGCTTTCATTTTGGTTGTAATACTGTTTTTTTATTCCCAAAAGCTAGAACTCTATAAATTTATCAAAGAAAACTAGGTAATTTTGATGAACAGGAGTTACTGTACTTTTTTATAATTCCAAAAACATTAAATAATTTTAGTAATTCATTCATTTCCTAAAAGAACAAAAACATACATTTTTATATTTTGAAGGATTTTCTCTTCTTTATGCATAACTATTGAAAAAGAAATAATTTGTGATTAGTGCATTTTCAATATGGGTCACAATGTACATGACAAACAGTGTGCTTACCAATACAACCGGCTTTCTTAGCATTGTTGTTTTGCACAATTATCTAGGATCATGTTAACAATATCAAATATATATATAATACTGTATACAGTTATGGTGGATTTGGAATCAATGCACATTGAAGATAGATGTTACCCTACCTATCAATATCAAATTTACATATTACTGCATACAGTTAATTCATTCTATAAAAATGACAATCAGCTCTTACCAACATTTCTGTGTTCATCTGAAATGCCAACAAAATAAATAACTTTATTATTTTATCAAAACAACAATTTTGATATACCTTGAGTTCATAATTATTCAGTAGTCATAACAAATTGTTTCTGCTGTTAAAATTGACAATATTACTTACCAACATGGCAGGATTTCTTAGGTGGTGTGGCATAATCTATAATGTCAAGAACATATAATCCCTTAGCTTCATATACAATTAGTTCATTTAAAAAATTGATGATAAGCTCTTACACCAACGTTGGCGACAGGACTATTTCTGTGTTCGTCTGAAATGTCAACAAAATATGTTATGATAGGAGGGGCAATGTTCTAAGAGATATAAATTTTTATGATTTCTTACCAACATGCTCTGTGTCGCTGTAACTATCATCTGAAATTTTAAGAAAACATTCAATGCCCTCATCAGCTGAGAAGTGAGTGAAAAATACCTCTGCCGACTTTCGATTATTATTCCGTTGAGTATGCGTAGTAGAAATCCGATATAATGGCTTTATTTGATCAACCTCGTTCCCAGGGCCATCACGGACTCCACAAAATGGCCGGTCGTCCAGCGATGACCCTGGCAAACACTGATTATCACGTGATCAAATAGTCCAAAATTCATGGAGTATTTGATCACGTGTCAATCTATTCAAAAATGTGTTCGCAACGTAAACCCAACGTTTTTAACCGGGCTAGCTGTGGTGGGTCGACATTTTGTTTATCTGACTAAACAAAAACATTTTAACTTAACTGTTTATTTCATAGTTTCCATTCAATCGGCAATATAATAAGAGCAGTTTCAGTTCATTCTAGAAGTCCTCAGGGGTTCTTGGAAAGAGAATGCGGCTGTAGATTAAAGCGCCGAGTAGAAGACTTTCAAAACATCAACGCTTTCGCTAAAATACAGTAAATATATCGGCCGGGTTTAATTACTTACACCTTCGGCTGGCTTCTCAAAAGCATGCATGAGATAAAGAACACACGAAAAGACAACTGACGTGAATTTGAAGCAGTGTTATTGCCTTTTGATCAATAAAACGGACATCAAACTCTTCGGAAAATTGGACGCATTCAAAATAACGGTCGAATCTGGTCGAACAAACCCCGATTGATAGCCGAACATATCTTAAACATCCAATGGCAAGCGGTATAAGAATGACGTCTTTATCAGCCAATCACAAAGCACCTTAGTTCAGTGTTTGCCAGGGTCATCGCTGGACGACCGGCCATTTTGTGGAGTCCGTGATGGCCCTGGGAACGAGGTTGTTATTTGATATAACAATGCTGAACTTGTATGAATGCACACATTGTGACATAACTAGTTTATGAGTGGGTAAGATCTGTTTCTCATAATTCTTATAAGCAATTCTTACCAACATTGACATTGTCTGACTCATCTGAAATATTAACAAAAATACTTTCAATAGCCAATGTGCGCGGCAGACATCTTGGATTTTGAGCGCGCAATGTATCCTGGGAGACTGAGTACATCCAGTGTTTACATTCTGTCGACGAGTGATTCTCGGATCCGGTGAATCGACTTTGAAATGACAATGTAAAGTAGCGTAAATAATGCCAGGATTTTCTTGCTGTGTTCCAAGGTGCTATAATAACAACAAGAAACATCGTCATTTAAAGTTTTACAATTTTCCTAAAGACGAACAACTAAGAAAGATATGGATCGCGAAAATAAAACGACAAGGGACGAACGGGAAGTTTAGTATTTTCAAACCAACAACTGGACATCGCGTTTGCTCGGAACACTTTGTTGGCGGAATAAAGACGTACACGAACAATATTCCAACAGTTTTCTCGTGGAATAGGGATGATGCAAAACCAAACAGGAGGATTCYTGTGCGAAACCAATTGCCATCCACTCCGCCGAGACAGTACGACACAAGCCACTCCATTTTAAACGACCACTCTTACGCCATACATTCAACTAACACGGCTGACTTGKCCAAAACAATAAAAGAAAAAGATGAAATCATTCACCAGTTACAGTTAAAAGTCGAGCAACTAGAGAGGGAAATTGAAAAGAATGAAAAAGAAGCCGAATTCACTCGGAAATGTGCAGATGATCTGAAAACAAAACTAGCTCAGCTGGAAGAAAGATTTTGCAACCAAAAAAACGATCTACAACAAGCACATAAAGAACTAACAGACAAGACATTTTCTGTTACATCACTAAGGGACAAACCCGATAAGTTCAAGTTTTATACTGGTTGYAGTCACTCTGAATTCTTAACACTCTACGATTTGTTGTCACCGGATGTTCCTCATTTAATAAATTGGGGATCAACACCACTAAAGGAGACAGAGGAGGGCAATATTAAACGTGCCAGAAACCACAAACTTACCACTGAGGACCGGCTATTAATGGTTTTGATGAGAATTAGAGTTGGATTGCTTGAAGAAGACCTGGCTTATAGGTAAATTTGTAAATGATATATAATGATAATAATAAAAATAAACAAATTTTTAGATAAATTAATTAATGATAAATAACATGACATCAAATTAATTGAAACAATATATGCTAAATGAATATTGTTGTTTTAATTTATTTCCATAACAGTTTAATAGTATTACTGGTATTCTAAACATTTATAGAAACTAATCATGTATCCTTTAGGTTTGGTATTCATCACACGACTGTGTCAAGAATCTGCAGAACATACTATGACCTTATGGCGACTCGATTCCGCCAAGTCCCTATCTGGCCATCTAAGAGCTTAGTCCAGAGGGAAATGCCAGAGTGTTTCAGGCATGAATACCCTACAACCCGTGTCATCCTTGATTGCACAGAGCTTTTCATTGAAACTCCTTCGCACTTCCGTGTACAGGCCGAAACTTATTCTTCGTACAAAAATCACAACACTGCCAAAGGTCTCATAGGTATTGAAATTATTTCAACTTAGTGAAATGTTATTGTTGTTTTATTTTTATTAATTAATGTATACACTAAGTCCTTTTTTAGTTGATCTTACTTTTATCCATGTAATATAGCTTAACTACATTCATTTTTTTATAATGTAAAGGGTCTTTTGAACTATATGGATGTCTATAAGATGTAGAAATAAGTATTACAATTATACATATTATTGTTATTATTACTCTACAGGTATCTCACCAAATGGTTTYATAAGCTTTGTTTCTGATTTGGTTCCTGGAAGAATGTCAGACAAGGAAATCACCTTAAATAGTGGGCTGATAGATCACCTGAGTGAAGGGGACTCAGTTATGGCAGACAGAGGTTTTGTGATTGATGAATATCTTGCCAAAAAATCAGTTCATCTCAACATCCCACCTTTYATGACAGGACGACAACTATCTCCATCTCAAGAAAGGGAAACAAGAAGAATAGCCAGGGTTAGGATTCATGTTGAACGTGCAATTGAAAGAATTAAGAACTATAGAATCTTGAATTTCACATTTCCTAACTCAATGGCTAATGATCTTAATAAAATATGGGTTATTTGTTGCTATTTAGTGAATTTTACAACCAACCCAATTGCTTCAGATAAAAACAGTACAAACAGCAAAGGCAGTTAATCAGTCAATTAATAGACTGTGTTTTATATATGGAATTGTTGCTACAAAATCAACTACAATAAACTGTAGTTAAACCATTGTACGTTATCTGAGAATAGAGTATGTGCTTTGAGAACAGTGGACTTGCAGTACTGTTTATTGCATATTTATTGATTGATTGCATGCAGATGTTGTAGTATAAAAAGCAACAACACAATCAAAAGATATAATATATAAATTTATTTGAATCAGTTCTGTAAGAAATACAAATGTTCTATATACAATTTTATTATTTGTATTATATTTACATTAATAAATAAGAATTCACAGTCTGTATCAATGTCTATTTTGAAGAATATAAATAACTTTTACAGTTAGGATAAAGTTTATTACCCTTTCTAATTCTTCTTGTTATTATTTCTGGAACTACACCTTTTAGGTAGAAATCATACATCTTTGGAATTATGATGTCATTATAAAGCTTTTGGTCGAATACAACMCGACTGATGAAAACGTCACAAATATGCATATCACTTACTTTATAGTAAACCATAAAATCACACCAAGTCATTCCCAAAACACCAAGCTGTGTTTGGACTTGGTAATAATAATTATGTGTATTCTTAACTGATAGTGAATTGTTAGCATCTACGGTCAAATAAAAAATTTTTCTACTTAGACTTAATTCAACTAAGGTTTGAGGTACATTTTCTTTTCCCAGCTGAATGTCTACATAGGGGCATTTAATCTCTAAAATTCCTTTGTCTCCATCACAATTCACTTTGACAATCCCATCAACACTTGCACCCWGCCATGAGTACTTACTATCTACTATAAACCCCACTTGTTCGACAGTTATATCCTGACCATTACATTTGCATATATCTATGTATTTTTGACGGGCTTCGGTCTCGTACTGTATGCCATGTCGACAGGAAGCTGGTGTAATACAGGATGGTGAGTATTGACATATCTTGTTGACAAGAGCATCAGGTGGAGTAGTGGTACGTCTATGGATTATATCTCCCGCAATGGATGCTGTTATTCTATCTGTAAATGATTGAAATGTAACTTATGATTAGTTAAAAAAAGAATATAAGCATTATTAAAATTAGCTTGTAAGTGCATGTGGTTTTTATGCTTGATGATAACTTTGTTATTAATTATAGACATGTATATAATGTAATATTTTTTTCCTATGAATATAATCACAGTCAATTTACCCTTTCTGTGGTAAAACCATTTGTCATTTGATGACTGTCCTCTAGTTTCTTTCTCAATAGTCTCAATGTCTTTTCTTGTTATAGGTGGCATGGCATCAATGGCCTTTTTTATTTCATCTTTAACTTTCGCTGACTCTAAATCTATATCGCTAGTAACTCCATTGATCAACAAAGCCTAAAAATATTTTTTCAAACAAATTAAAGTAAAAGGGGGATTCCCCTGGTATAATGAATTTACTGTCATTCATAGCCCTATGATAATTGATTTTTTTAATCATTCATAATAATAATATGAGTTTAAGTCTATACTCATGTTTTGCAAATATGATTCTAATGAGTACAAATCAAAATACTGTAGGTGTAGTAGTTATATTTATACATTGTCAACACGTGCAATTCCTTGTCTTTATGTCATGAAAACATGGAGAATATATAGAGAATATTAATTACTGTACTTACATTCAAGTCATTATTTACATCAATTGGACTGTCTTTTGGGGCTGGAATATTTTCAGACTCCTTGTTGCAGTGCTGATATAATAATACAATGTAAATAAAATCACGAAAATTACAGKTCAGAAACAATACAATTCAAAATCTCTTCATTCAATACCTATGCAAAAATAGACGATGTATAGATTAAATTGAATAAACATCAGTTTATTTAACAATTCTTATTATTACCTCGAAAATTAAATCGCTCCACATCGACCTAGTCGATTTCAAGTCGGTCGCTAACTTCGTCAGTCTGTTGGGTGACAACTTAGATTTCCTGTTGATTGGCAAAGAGCTATATTCTCGCCGTTTATCACTTCGTTCGATATTTTTCACTGCTTTTTCAGGTTCGTATTTTACGAATGTCAACTCCTGAAAGGATTTCGAAACAAGCGGAGCCCTTGACTTTCTCACTCCCCACTCTCTTGGTCTTTCGGTACATGCCAATTCTTCATCGWTGTTCTCTTTTCCGCTTTGTTTGTAATCATTCAGTTTAAACAAGGTAGCAGCCACATGTTTACATATTCCATTCACTCCTGATTTACACAAACAATGTCCCTCGGTCACTCTCCCTGATTTGTTGTCGATCTTAACACTGCATTGGTAGCGTTCCTTTCCGTAGCTAGCCCCTACTACTCCTTTCACTTCAATATGGCTTGTTTTGTTTGACGACACTAGCATGTTCTTAACCTTGTCACACTTAAACATGTTATATCCAGCAACTCGATGTTTTTCTCCTAGCCCACCAAGGTGTTCGTAAATCATTCCCTCCCCAAACCCATGTGCTAGGCCGAGGATTGACTTGGTCCATAGTTCGCCATTTGCTAAGTTGTCCTGCGGTTTTGGATGGTTATTTTCAATTGATCGCGGTACAATCTTCGCAGCATCAATAGCATCAGGATCGATCACATTATTAGCTCTAGTAGTATCAGCTGAGTAGATTTTGCACCTACATTGAATCGAAAACTTACAATTTTACTCCTAAACAGGTTTATATTGTCTCTCAAAAAGATAAAAATTGAAACTTGAGGGATCACGTTGACCAATGAAAGGTCGTTACATACSTGTCAACAAGGTCATTTTTCAGACCTTTAATTGAAGCTTTASGGCATTTCAGCCATCGTTTCAGTTCAGAAACAGTTGCTGCCTCGAATGGTTTGTTTAAAAAAGCACCTGGGATAACTTTTGCATCATTTTTTAGGTCCATAGGTTCATAAGTTCAAAGTTCATTCAAAGTCGATTCACCGGATCCGGAAATCACTCGTCGACAGAATGTAAACACTGGATGTACTCAGTCTCCCAGGATACATTGCGCGCTCAAAATCCAAGATGTCTGCCGCGCACATTGGCTATTAATTTTAGAAGTATCATCAAATAATAGCAACTTGAGTACCTTCAATGAGAAAAAACGAAAAATGAGTTTGGAAACACATTTTAGTAAGATATTTTATCAGTAAAACAAAACATTTTTTTAATATCCCTTCGAACGATGCAGACTAGAAGGTATCAAAATCTAGGAGGTTACCTAACTATATCTGAGGTCATCTAATATCCTCTTGAAAGTACTCTTAAGTTCCAGATGATTTGCGTTCTTAGTTTGCTATTCGCTCGTGTTTTTGTTTTCATTTTGGATACAAAATGTTCGTCTTTTGGGCGACTGTTTCATACCTTTTTCAGATTTTTTTTGTTAATAGCTAATTAAGGTAAGAAGAGAGAAAAAACCTTGAAAATTAATAAACGTACAGTCCCAAATAAGGCCGTATAGAGTGGAATATTTTGTCAGAATAAATAAGCATTCATGTACGATTATTCGGAACTTAAGAGTAAATAAACATTCATAGCCGGAGTCCAGTTCTTTTGAGCTGTTTTCGTCATCTGAGAAGTTTTGAAGACTATCAAGAAGGGGTGGCAGATTAACAAGATTACACTGAATCCCAGCATCTTGCTTCGTAACGTCGGCTTGTACACCTTTTATCGGAGATAAACTATCAATCAACTAGCAAATTGGTGTGAACAGATATTACTGCTTTTACCTTTACTTCTTCTTTCGTGCTTTTCAATAGATTTTTGTGTCCCTTTATTGCAAGAGGACGTGGAGCATTGTATAGCTACTGATTCATCGGGACTCGGATTGCACTGATCCCCAACGACAGTCTCTTGACACTCTTCACTAATCGTACTGTCAGTGGTTGCTTCCAAAGTCTAAGTTTATAAACTGTATACATGTATCAGTGATAGAAATTTTAGCTTTAAAAAACAAGATTTTTGCTCTCTTCGTAAATTTTAAGTGGTCCAAATCATTCCTTGAGACAAATGGCTAGTAGTAGAAGAGAAAGAGGGTCAAGAAGAAGAGCAAATKCTTYTTGACAGATTCAATGCGAAGGTCGGATTCATTTGAACGAGTGATAGGCTTTAGCTCATAAAGATACGATTGATAAAAGACTTTGAAGGTTGAATCCATTGGCCTTTGTACCGAGGACGAATCTCCAAAGCGTTGAGAACATAAAATCGACGACTCACGGTAAGTGATTGTGGTCAACCATAAAAATGAGATCAAATAAATATTAATGTTAGTAATAAGTGAGATTAAAGATGTAATTAACCTTATAGTTAAATACACTCATCAAATCATACTATTTTTATTAACCAGACATTGTCCAAAGTTTGAAACTTACATGTAATTGTAATGTATCTTTAGTTAAGTGGTGTCAGTACATCCATACACACAATTGCAATACTATCACTTCAATTATTCAGCTGCAATATTAAAAAAACATACCTGGTGCATGTTGGAGGAACATTTGTGTTTGCTAATGTTAGTCTTTGTGTGTATATGTGCAAATGGCTTTTTTCTCATGCTCAAGTATGCTATTCATTGGTTCATATGTGTAATTGCTTGTAGCTCATTGCATCTCTTGCTGTTTTAACCATGGTTGTTTTATTTCACATAATCCATTTAGTAAACAAAAGTTGCGTTTTGTTGCCATATGCACACTTAATTTTAATTTAACATTGGAGTGGTTTTCATTAACCCCTGAAATACATTTTAGCATATTACACTTTATTACGCTTTGTCTCTTTTGTTTTCTATTATATTTCTCGGCTATTACACTTTATTACACTTTGACTATTACACTTTGTTTCACGGGTTAATGAGAACCACTCTAATAGAAAACAAAAGATCAGAGACAAAGTGTAATAAAGTGAAATATGCTGAAGTGTATTTCACGGGTTAATGAAAACCACTCTAAAATGTTTAATTGTAATAGAAAAATATTACCACAATTCTGTGGCAATCCTTTA